CTGTTTTTAAAACCCAGAGATATTCTCTGAGAATATACAAATCTTAATTGCTCACTGGCTTCATTTGAACTTGGAGACAGACATGAAACACACAAAAGCAGCAATGAAGACAAACAATTCCCAACTGTGGCTGAGTGCTTGTTCTACAGGCGTGTGGTTTATTTGCACAGTTTCACAGCTGGTGAAAGTAGCATCACAGTAGTGAGACATGCTGCACATACGCTTGCTTGCTAAAATACACTCATCATTGCTGAGTTGTGTAACCGCAAGTGACTGACCACACCTCAGTTATACAACTGCTCTCTGTAGTACACTACCAGCTTTTACAGTGACTGGATGAGTTAATGCGTATAAATGTGTGGGAGCATCAATACTGCGCTCTATTACTACTGAGTGGGTTGGACTCGAAGATAACACTGCGCTAATTAGACTTACTCATTTTCCAGTTCACAGTATGCACTTGTGCAAAGATAACATGGTGCATTTGTAAGATAAGCTGAGTCAGGATGGTCTTTATAGTCTCCTAGGGGGCATGGGGGTGTGCAGCAACAAAGAATACAGATGTAAATTGGAGAATAAAAGAAGAAAGGAAAGCATATAAATACACGCAAAGAAACAACAAACAAAAAGCATCTGTATTGTAATAATAAAACAAGAGCTTCCAGGGCAAGAATAGTAAGAAGTACTGATATCCCTGAACTCTGAACAAAGCAGCTGCACTTCGATGGTTTTATTTGTGTATTACTGTCTATCTATCTAGATCTATTTACATTTAGTATTTTCTTGCCAAAGTAAACAGCAGCAGGCACACCAGATTCCTTTCTGTTAAAATATCAGGTTCATGCGATGTGTTGATCATTGTTTGTTTGTTTGTTTTTTCTTTTACTTAAATCCAATCCTTTACTATGTTTTAACTAAAACCCAAACCAATGAGAGCACATTTTATTAAAAGAAAAGTAATGTTTTTCCTTTCCTTTTTTCCAGGACAAAAAAAGCCAAAAACAAAGTCCAACAACTTGTTTGTGCATCTGTTCCATTGGTGCGTTAAGTATCACAGCAGCACAGATCAGAAGTGCTGTCTGGCTTCTTTATATTTATCTCATCTAGGAACATTGGTTACCCTTGGTATTTATACTGCTGCACTATTTATTTTGGCTGCTGTTTGGTTGGACAGAAAAACAGCACAGGACAACAGCAAGAACAGAAAAGAGCACAGCTGCTCTGAAGCTTCTTCTCGTGAATTTAATGTGACTGAGAAATATCAGCACTTTTTAGGTCATCCCAGGTGTTTTTACTTTCCAGGTAAGTGTTTTCCGATAGAGCTCTGTATTCAAGGCGTATAACTATTTTCAACATACCTAATCCTCTGTTTGCAGCATTTTGCATTTGTTAAAATGTTGACTTGTTTTCTATTTATAATCTTAGTGAATAGAAGGCACAGCCATTAATTCCCTCTATAGAAGACAGCAGAAAGCTTAAGCTCTGAATTTGCAGTGCACTGCTGTGCACAGACAGACGATCACAAACACAGACGTACAGACGCTGTTGTCCTCTTGCCTACTGACCTGTTTCAATAATTCAGAAGAGTGACTTGCTGGCTTGGCTGGCAATGGGTTCTATCCATGGACTCAGTCAAGCGTTACACACACACACACACACAGACTCACGCACACAAGTAAACTTGCATAAACAGGGCTTTATTATGCTTGGCACTTTTGCTTCCACAGTTATATTCACTGGAAGCAAACTTTAAAGATTTGACCACAACCTGTCTGTGCATACAGAAGTCTATCCGACCCAAAACATCTACCACACATCATCCATAATGGGTAAGTGGAGTGTGGAGTTGCAGGTGTAGCTGGAGTTAGTGTTTAAATGACGAAACACATTATTTGAACAAACATTATGCCCGTCTTTATTTATTCTATATACTGATTCAATGATGACGATACAGTGATTCAAACAGTTACCAATAATACGATCAGGGTATTTACATTTAATTCCTTTGAGCCGACAGCTCAGGCTACAGAGTGCTCTAAATGCTCAGTCTTTATTTTTTCTACTTGTAGGTTTGTATGATGTCAGTGAGCAAAGAAATCCAGCTGTTCAAACCTTTTGTTTGCAACAATCAGCTGCTTGAAGGCAGGCTAGGAAAGGAACTAAAACTTCTTTAAGATAGTGGATAAACTGAGGGGCTGCACCAAGGACTGATGTAAAGGACAAAAGAAGAATTTTGAACCGTGAATCATGCAAAGCTACTCTAGAAGAAAGGGAGTTGGAAAAATAACATCATCGGTCCCATTTCAGAACATAACAGGAAATAATATTGTTTAACGAACAAGATCCAATTATGAGAGTCATGCTGGTAACTAAAAGATGTACGTCTGAATCAAGTAAACTAATATGCAAATGAATACTTAAAGCTGTACGGTTGTCAACTATGAAACCATAAAGACGTTTTCTAACATTTTTTCCACTGTGAATGACATCATGACATCATATTGCAGTGATTTGCTGGTACACACCTCCTGGCTTTGACTACAAGAAATCTTTGATGTCTGTGGTATCTCACTATGCTGCCCATACTGTGAACTCTAAAATACAGAATAAACAAACTGTAACTCCGAAGACATCCTGTGGCTGTTCAGCCTAGTTATGGCATTTCCTGGTTTGGAGTTACATAAGATATTGAATAATTAAAAGCAAATATTTTTAGGATCCCTTTTTCTCTTGACAAATTGGAATTCTTCTTTTCACCTTGGGATCATTCAAAGCTTTTAACATCATGGGGAACCCATGTTGAACAAAGTTGCTATGGCACTTCACCCTGGGTATCCAGGCCTCATTAAAGATAAATGCACCCATGCAAACTCCAGACTAAGGTGGAGTTAATGTAGTCTCACCAGGATGCTGGCTCAATGAGCTGGACTGGTTGTCTTGTCAAGCTTGGAATCTAAAGTAAATGTATTGATTCACAGTTTGTATAATGCTGTTCACTGGAATTTTTAAAGGTGAGTGAGAGAATTTTGAAGTTAGTCGTAACTGCATATCAAACTATCCTTTTGAAGGAACCTTTTTTTTGTTTGTTTGGTTTTTTTTTTTGGGTTTTTTTTGCAGAATTTGATACCGATCACTATTTACACTTTTAATTTTAAACTGCACCCATGTGAAACTGTAAATCAAATCGTAATGACAGGTTTATAATCATGAGTGGGGTTAAATTATTCTCTGTTAAATTGGCTGGGGACTGGGATGGTCAGTAAGGAAAGGGTTAAAGTAAGGTGAGAAAGTCCTGACTCCATAGATGACTTTTATTTGTCTGTTTGTGTCTGTAAGTAGCTGCGCTAATAAGTTTAGTATGAAGTTACATAAGAGCCTTGGATGAGATTCTGCTGCACAAGCAAATTAATTGGAACACTTTCCACTCTGTATTCGTAGTTGTGCCTCCCTCAGGGTCATTTTCAGGGTAGCAGAATTCAGAAGTTGATTAATAAATGAATATTTCGGGGAGGAAACAGATGATGAGTAACACACTGAATCAATCATTCAGTAATTTGTTTTATTCAGCAACAAAACATACAGTATAAAAAAAGGATCAGAGATAGATGATACTGTGTGCTTACTAAAACATGCGTTTTTTTTTCCTTCCCCATGAGCCCACTAGATAGGGCTCATTGCCTTGCATGCATTGGATTGTGCGATTGTGCATGTTAACACAAGTCAATCACTTTTGCTGCCAGTGGCAGATTTGCTGACAAAGAGACTTTATCTCTCTACAGAAGTTTCCTTTTCCTTTCCAAGGTCATCTTAAGAACTGTGAATAAAAAATATATATTTGTCTTCGGTGTATCTGTACAGTAAACATTTATGTCAATGAGACAACAATGATAAATAAATAAATTGTGTTGAAACCTGTGATAGCAATCCAATGGGTTGATTTGAGAAGGGTAGATAAAATGAAGTACATGTGTTTGCGCTTGTGGCAGATTTGTGTGTGAGTGTGTTTGTGTGTGTGTGTGAGAGAGATATTGCTGATACAGACTGATACACACTTTTGATGTGAGAGCAATCTCTCTCCATCAGTCTCTGTCTTCGCCTATCCTTCATCTTTTCTCTTTCACATACCTTTTGCCCCCCCTTTTTTTTTAAAACCTCCATCCCTGCTTCATCACTCTGCCTCTTGGCACAGCCTGCACCCCTCCCCCAACACACACACACACACACACACTTGTGCCTTCGTTTTCTTAGCCCTGTCCTACACCCCTCCCTTCCACCTTCTTCCACCTTACTCTTTGCCCTCATTCTTTCCTGCTTGCCTCACTTTCATCCCTTCATCCTTCCATCCTTCCCTCCTTCCCTCCATCCTGCTGGCTCAGCTGGTATACAGGCAGCCTTTGTTTCAGCTGTGTCCTCTGTCCTTTGAAGGAGGAAAGCTGAAAAGCAAGAGCCACAGAGGGAGGGGGAGGATAAGAGGAAAGAAGTGAAGCAAGGGGCAAAAAAGGAAAAAAATCCATATGGAAAAGCAGGATAAAAGACAGAGGAGAGGAATTTAAAGAGAAACTGGGAGGGGATAAAGCAAGCAAGGGAGGAAGGGAGAGAGAGAGAGAGAGAGATATCTCTGGATCAATGGTCTGGGTTGTTCAAGTCATTGATATCCAGTCACAGCAGCGTATGAGAGCACATTTCCTGTGTGGTAGGATCAGTCTATGCGACATGGGCACTCACCTTAGCACACTTCCTCCTGGTTCAGTGGTGCACAATTGCAGCTCTTTAGTTCTCAGTTAAAGGCCAGCCAAGCAATTTATATAAAATTAGACTGTTTTGGAAGCCAATCATTGGTGTGGAACTCTGTACACCACAGCTACACTGTAGGCCAAAACACTTAAAAAAGCCACTAAAGATCTTAAAGGCAAAATATGGCATGGAAACCCTCAATTCTATTTATATTCACTATTTTTCAAGTCCAGTAATGATGTCTTTTTTTTTTTTTACCTCTATAGTGAGAAAAACCCAGCAGAAAATTTTGGACCTGTAACTTCATCCATGATGCTGTAGCTGTGGTAGCTGTGGTAACATGTGAATCCTGCGGCGTGTCATCAGCATTTACATCTCTAAAGGTAAGAAGTATTTTTGTAATTTAAAAAAAAATACATATTATGTTTTTTCTTGCCATGAGCTTGAAATTGCTGGCATTCTCATATAAACTGAAAGGCCAGTAATTTGGCCTATCATAAAGCCCGAACAAAAAGAAACAGTTGTCTTGCCAAAATTTTATCAGATGTACAGGAACAGTTTAATAGGAAAATGCTGTGCCGACAGTTCTAGATTGATAGCCATTATATAACCACAATTAGTTGATATAAAAATATGTCCTTTGTATGGTTAATATATCCTGTTGGACACATTCTAATGGTATAAATATTTCACGTGTCAGCAAAAAGTAAAATTCCCCAAAAAATGAATTTTAGAATGGGGACAAAAATCCTCTTAGTTTTGTTTGCTACAACCAGTAGTGATTTTTGATACGGGCGACATGGGCGGTTGCCCAGGGCGGCATCATGGTGGGGGGCGGCATCACGGGCATCGGCAGAAAAAAAAATTGCTCGTACTCATGCTGCCCCGACATCATGCCAGCGCATATTGGGAATGGTACAGGCACTGATCGGTTTTCTATCGCCCATTTGCTGGGAGTAAGAGCGCCCTCCGTTTGCGAGGTGCGCCTGCTGCTTGCGGCACAGGGAGGAGAGGGCGGGGCGGGGGGCGATTCTCTGGCTGGCTGGAGCAGCATCTAATAACCAACTCGCAAAATAAAAGAAAATAAAAACAAACCAACAAACACAAAAACACCAGACATCATGATACAGTCTTATCATTTGCACCGATGTTTTTTTCGAAATTCTATACGCGAAAAGTGAGCGCGAGAGCCCTCGGTGCGCCTGCTTGCTGCTGAAGTCAAAGTAAACTTTATTGTCATTTCCGCTACATACAGTCCAGTATATAGAGACACGAGACGACGAGGCTCCAGTTACAGCAGTGCAAGTAAACAAACAATAAATATAAGAAGAGTAAGAAAATAAATATACACTTTAGGACCAGGGATCAATAACAATTTAAAATCTATAATTTACAGTTTGCTGATTTAAAGTCTCACACACAACCCATTGAAAGGGGAGGGCGGCCGGCTGCTTCCAAATAGAGCACATTTCATTCATAATGTTGTAAATCCAAGCCCATCATGTATTCATGATTTGTTCCTGGGTTGTGCGAAATCCCAGAAATAAACCCTAGACAAAGTGAATCTGTGAACTAAGGTGTAGGTCTATATTATGTTGTGGTGATCCTCGGGTTGGGGGATTTGTGTTCATACTGGAGTGCAAAATTAAAACCAATGGAAGATGGACAAGAAGAGGTCAAAACCATCAGGTGCTCAGTTTAGAAAAAAGAGAAAAGAAGAGGAGGAGAAACGAGCAAAAGACACAGGTAAGCAGATGTGTCATTGGATAATGGCAGGTCATCCTGAAACAATCAGAATCAGAATATTTTATTAATCCCTAAGGAAATTATATGGATTACAGTTGCTTCTAGAAGAAATGGTAAAAATAGTAACAGTAACAGACTAAACTCCAAACAATACAGTATGTTACAGATTTTACACATTTAAGAAATAGCACGAATATATGCAGATCACTCAATTATAAATATCAAGGATTAACTGAAGTGATTATAAATAAATATCAAGAAAATTGACGAGAATACTCCAGAGTAGAAAAGAGCATGTGTAAAAAGGGTGTAACTATTGTGTTAGATGGAGTAGTTGTACAAGGAGATGGTTTCTTGTGTCGGTCAGTGGTGCTTTTTGGTAATCTCAGTCTCTCACTGAACGTGCTTCTGTACAGAGAGAAGGAGTGTTTGCCCAGGGCGCCAAACAGGCTAGGACCGCCACTGGCTACAACAGAGGCTTAATGGGAGGCAGGCCAGTCTCATTTCCGTTAGCAGACACCAGGCTTTGAGTTACAATAGGAAAGAAAAGCTGGTGAGATCTGGGTCAACCACCATGTTTTGGTGGGTCACTTGGATGCCAGGTTAGCTCAGTTTGATAGTCAACGCTACAAGAAGTACGGGGGCCAAGGTACCCTTGTCCCAACAGTCCCCATTTGTCATGTCAACACATTTGAAGCATTCACTACCTTATTTCAGGTTATTTTGTCCTCATTAAGAAGAGATTACCAGCCATCACAACCAGTATGTACAGAGTGTGGTGGCTAAGCTCGTTAAGCTCCTGTTTATAAAAACAAAGATCAGGCATTTGACTTGTGGGCACAGCGTATTATACAGTGACCATCTACACACTTTTTTAATGAATCCGATGCCCTTGCTTGTATTTGAAATGTAGATTCAGTGAAAAGCAGCTAAGCCTTTTGGCATTTTTGTGGTGAATATCAGGAAGGTGTTATCTCATTGCCTTTGAGTTTGCCTTGGGGATGAGTTTGGCCCTGCAGTGGAAACAAGTAAAAACAATGCTATACTACAGAAATTAGTAGCCCCACTGGACTTAATAAGTTGCATGATTGTTCTTCTTTTTAATTAATAAGTCCTCACTTATTTTATTTCCATCTTTTTCTTCTTTCGGTCCTTATCTCTTATCTCCGTCATAATGTTTTCAGGCTGAGGTGTAGTAGCTTCATCTTCATATTAGGTTTTTTATGTCAGAAATCCACCTCCAACCTCCTTAACATCAGAGACTTTGTTGTTGATTCCCTCTCCCCACTGCCCTCGCTCTCTCTATGGCTCACTTTCCCCTGGCCTGCTTTTCCTTTCCTCTCTTCAGCTAGTTGTTAGATCTACACTTATAACCTCAATGTGTCCCTCTAGGGCGTGGCTGACTGCTGAACTCAGCTGTACAGGAGGCAGGAAAAATTACAGTGAGGAGACAAAACAAAAGGGTGACCTGGAGTTTGGGGTTATGAGTTTGTAGTCTCATTGGATTTGAGACAGTACATTGATTGTTGACTAATCTTTAAAGGAAATTTTATTTAAATGTCCCAAAAAATAACACTACATTGATAATTGTGAAATTAAGCACGTAATTCAACGATGAGGTACTTGCAGCCTTAATGGTGTCCCCATGTGTATGCTGTGGTGTAGCTATTTTCACAGGTTAACTACCACTCTTAGAGTAAACTGTAAAATTAATGAATCAGTAATTCCATATTGTGACACAAGAATTAACTGTATTACTCTAAACATTAATTATAATAATTCTATAAGCTTGGCATTTTATTGAAAGCCAGGAGGTATTTAAAAGTGCTGTAGTTTCCAGTAATGCAGGTACTACAGTGCCAATCATGGTATTACCCTTTGTGATCGCCTGCAAATTTGACAGAACCTGGACAGACTGAACGTACAAACTTAACATACGCACCTAAAAATATGAATTTGACTTCATAACAACAACGAATTTGGTTCTTGCACATGGATCATTCACACACGCACACTTACTGGTGCAGATTTCTGCAGAAGGATCTGTCTTGGAAACAATGTTGATTATAATATCAGGGAAACTTGTTATTAGGTTTAGATGAAAATGACTTTTTCACATAGCAGCAAGGATCGTTTGGATGCCCCCCACCCCTTAATAAATGAAATCATCATTTAAAAAATGCATTTTGTATTTAACCATGTTATCTTTGTCTGATATTAAAATTTGTGGGGGGGGGGGGGGGTTATATACAGCTGAGTGGGGGGAGAAGGGGCCTCCAGGGAAGTCCAAGGGAAAGCACGCGTTCTTCAGAATATCCACTCACACAATCACAGGCTCACACTCCGACACTGCCACACGGGAATCACACGGGGAAAAATACAGAAAGCTCTGTAGACAGGGAGACAGGTTTAAGAACGACGCACAGAGGAAAACACTCTTAACTAAACTTGCTGTAGCTTGACTTCACTAACGCGTGGTAGACAACGATCCAGCGACGAACAGCAGTCACCTCCTGGCTTAAATGCTGCTCCCCTTAATGAGACCCAGGTGTCTCATCTCCCGAGGGCGTGGGCCGAGGGCGTGAACCTACAGCGAGTTCTGCCCCGGTGAGAGAGAAGAGGAAGAGAGAGAGAGAAACAGAGAGGGCTGATCAGCGTGCAGCTGATCCGCCTGGCCGTGACAGGACCCCCCCGACGGGAGCCTCCCGGCGACCCCCAGGCTTGTCAGGGTGAGCCGCATGGAACGCCCGCACCATACCCCGATCCAAGAGGGCCGCCCGCGGAATCCAAGAACGCTCCTCCATCCCGTAGCCCTCCCAATCCACGAGATACTGCAGACCGCGCCCCCGGCGCTGGACATCCATGATCCTCAAAATGGTGAAAGCCGGGTGGCCATCAATGACCCGGGCGGGTGGAGGGGGTCCGGAAGGAGGGCACAGAGGGCTAGAGAGACACGGAGAATAACAGAGTTACCTGACGAGGCGGGCAGACCTGTGATGAAGTCAACAGCGATGTGTGACCAAGGGCGACTCGGAGTCGGCAGAGGTTGAAGGAGGCCAGAGGGTGGCTGATGGACGCTCTTGTTTTGAGCGCAGGTCGAGCATGCGGAAATATACTCGCGGACGTCTTTGGCAAGGGAAGGCCACCAGGCGAAACGTTGGAGGAAGGTAATAGTGCGGTGGACCCCGGGGGGCAGGTGAATCTGGCAGTATGAGCCCAATGTAACACTCGTGACCTTACAGAGGAGGGGACGAAGAGCAACCCTGGAGGTCCCGTTCCGGGGTCCGGTTCTGTCCGCTGAGCCTCTCGAATAGCCGACTCGATCTCCCAGGTCAGGGCCCCGATTACACAGGTGGGCGGTAGAATGGGAGAGTCCCGAGTTGCGTCTTCGGAGGCGGCGAATTGGCGTGAGAGGGCGTCTGGCTTGACATTACGGGAACCGGGTCTGTAAGTGATCGTGAACTGGAATCTAGTAAAAAACAGGGCCCACCTGGCTTGCCTGGCGTTGTGGCGTTTTGCCGATCGAATGTACTCCAGGTTCTTGCGATCGGTCCAGACCACAAATGGCTGGGCAGCGCCCTCTAGCCAATGGCGCCACTCCTCCGGGGCTAGCTTGATGGCTAGTAGCTCTCGATCT